AACAGATGGCGCTCTAATCGCAATGACCTACAATAGCCTTTAAAAATGTGCTTCAAATTCAAAAGTGATCAGTACGACTGTTGGCTAGTGAAAAAAGGCTAGCATAGAAAGTGAAATAATGTATTCCATTGAACAACATGTTTTTTTGGTTCTGGAATTTCACCGATTAGAACACAGTCCTACGGCAACACGTCGCATTTTCAAAACCGATTCTATGTTCCAGTTGGACCCGATGCGAAAACCATTCGCATGCTCTTCGCGAAATTCGAATGGACTGGCAGCGTAGCTGATGATCGAAAGGGAAATGTTGGGCCTAGGTAAACTGTAGTCACTCCTGAAAATGCAGCCAAAGTTTCTCGAATTGTTCAGTAAAATCCTAGGAAAAGCATCCGACGGATTGCATCAGAGACAGGTTTGAAGTACTTGATCACGCAAAAAAATATTAAAAAATAGCCTACAGCTGTTTCCATACAAAATCCAAAGTCATCAGGCCATACCCATGAAAGCTGTGCAACAAAGGGTTGACTTTGCAAATCAGATTCTAACAATGGTCGACAACGACAGATTTGATGTGAGCTGCATCTGGCTCACAGATGAGGCACATTTTCATTTGAATGGAATCATTAATAAACAAAACTGGAGATTTTGGGGTACCGAAAATCCTCATTTGTGTGAAAAAAATGCACTGCATTCGCCTAAAGTTACTTCATGGGCTGCGGTATGCGCCAGAGGCATTGTCGGACCATTTTTTGTACAAGAAACGATAACTGCTGAACGTCACGTTTCAATTTTGTAACAATTTATCAGCACTCAACTAGTGTTGGAGGATTGACCAGATATCGACTGGTTCATGCAAGTTTGGGGCTCGACCACATCGAACAGATAAAGTTTTCGCTTTCTTCATGAATACCTTGGAAATAGAGTAATTGCATTAGATTATCCGCAATTTACTGACACAGGAATAGCTTGGCCTCCATATTCTCCCGATCTAAGTCCTTGTGACTTCTTTCTGTGGGGCGCATTGAAAGACACTGTTTATCGAAACAATTCCGCTACTCTAGATGAGCTTGAATCGTTGATTGGTGTTGCATGTGATTCCATTTCCGTTGAGACATTGCAAGACGTGATGTCAAATTTCATTGTTCGTTTAAGCCACCTCATTGTTTCGAACTGTGAACATTTTGAAAAAATTGTATTTTGATTGCAAAGGCTGCTTCACTTTATTGTTTTTTTTTTTTTTTTACTCCTTTCAGAGAAAGAATTTTTAGCAGCGAGCGCCATCTGTTAATGATTTTCGTAACTAAATTTTCTAAACTTTTGTATACCATTTTTTATATTTTTGCTAATGAACGTACAGTTTACCGCATAAATCTATCGATCTTAGTTGTAGAGATATTTAATTTTGAAATCAGGGCTTATTTGCTGATCACGCTGTTTATCACTGCCTAGCCATTTGCATTAGCATTCATTATATCTTTGCCAGAATTACTAAGTTTTCTTGATTCTTCCTTTAAAGAAATTTTTAATGCATCCAATTTGAAAAACAGCTCATGCATTTCTATTTCATACTTATTAAACTCTGCATTAGAACAAGTACCAAGAATGTTATCGTTTAAACAGTTCACTTCAACACTCAATGCACCAACATAATTTTCGTACACTTTAATGACAGAAAAAGAATGTTCTTGATTTTGTAAACCATTTACTTGTGAAATTAAATGAGTCAACTTACCCTTAATGATTCACTTTTGCTTTAAAATAGACTCCATATTCCTGCTGCTGTTCTCACAATCCAGACAAAATAAATCCATTTACCCTGCACGAAATGTCCTTCTATATCAGAATGTTAAAAATGTCTTGACACATCATCCAACTATTGCGCTGGCCATAAATCCATTTACCCTGCACGAAATGTCCTTCTATATCAGAATGTTAAAAATGTCTTGACACATCATCCAACTATTGCGCTGGCCATGTTATTGGATGGAAAGTAGACACAAACGTTCGTTATTGTGTTTATTGGCTGTGAGAAGAACAAGTTCATACAATAGATATACAGGTAGTTCGGTGCTCGCAGACGCCCTCTTCCAGAGAACAAAATCAAAATTTACATAAGGCGCGAACACTTACCCATCCACAGGCGGTACTGGGTGACCTTTTTTATCCTGTACTTTAGTTTATATATGTCTAGTGTTCTTGTTTATATATGGCTGAAAATGACAATATAACTATAAAATCTGCTTTTGCAGACAAAACCTCTGATATAAACCTTTCTTCTCAAAACAAGGAAACCCAGAGGAAATCGATCAAAGGAGCAGAAAGGAATCCTCCATCGAGTGAGGTAGAAATTACCTCTACTCAAGTTAGTCAATCACCATCTGGAGAAGGGCAGGAAGCTAATAAAAGTATGACTGCCTCTCTAGATAAAATCAAAATGAAAAAGAGAATGTCTTGAGCACGAAAAAAGGAAATCTGCCCGAGAAATGGAAATTGTGAAAGGTACTTAGGTTGAAAAAAAACCGGAGGAAAAAGGTGAAAAAAGACAGTCTCAAAGAATGGAACAGAATACAGCCCTGAAGACTGCCAAAAGAGACAGACCTGAAGGTTATACCTTCAGGGAGGCTCTCATGGTGGTCAAGATGGCTGTAATCATTTAGGGACATCCTGAAAAATGTTTATTGGAGGAACAGGTCAGTGATCTTGGAACTTCTGATAATGTTGATTAGTTTAGGTATTCTCAATACTAAAGAGTTACACCTGAGCTCTTTTAAGAGGCTGTTAGACTTTATAAACAATGTGGGTTACCCAAACAAGTGGAACTAGAAAACATTGGGTTTGGTGCATTTGGCACAAAATGCTATTTAGCAGAGGTGCCTGGATACCCCTCAAACTCAAGAAGAAGTAGGTTATGTTATTTGAATATGACAAAGCACATAAAGGCTATCTGCCTAAGGAGAGATGCCTCCGGTGAGGACTTTCTAAGAGAAACTGGCTTGAATTCTTATTACACATGGAAAGACTTTCTTCATCGACCTCCCCTTGCATTTTTCTCTATAATATACAGCGTACAACATAATCATGATAAAAATAATTCCGCATAAATAACTTCAGAATTAGATTAGGAATAAGAACCAAAGTTTTGAAAAATGGTTAATTAGATTTAAGTTTTATTATTTTTAATTTTACAACTATAAAGTTTTCGGAAATAAAATCACAGATTGTAACTGCACAAAAGTTTGATTTTAATTAATGTGATGGCTTTGTTTAATGTATTGATGCAATTTTTATTACCTGACATAAAATTCCTTAACTTAATAATTAACTCACCTATTTTCAAAAGTATTCAATCTGTTTCTTGTTGTCTGTAATAAATTATTGACACAGACAAAGCCTACTTTTAGTTAAACTACTACTAGTTAAATGTTGGTTCAGTAACAACTTTTATTATGAGATATTTCTCTCGGTTGACTTCCAGAGCATATCCATGTGCTATGAATAAGACATGTGGCTTGAACATCCTCCTTTAATGCAATGAACTTTTCTCACATCATAATATCAAGATCAGACATACTACAGTTAGACAGTTCTATGAGTCACACTGGCACATTCAGCAGTGTCTTGGAAGTGAATATTGAAATTTTCTTTTAAATTTTGCAAGTGGCTTGTATATAACAATGTATCTTTTGAAGAAGTACAATCCTTTTCAATAAAGAACAGTCACATTAAGTCATCAAGGTAATGGAATTTTTTTCAATTGAGTGTTGATTTAAAACAAGTCAATTGTAGAATGAAAACCAAAAATAATCTCAAGGATAAGCTTCTAGTTTCAATGAGATTGATGTCTCTTTGCAGTTATTCAGCCAAGTAGAATGTATGCTTTTTGAATTTTATTAATTATGTCTCTAAGGAGTTGTCAGCTTTTTAGAAATGTCTATAAAATGCTTCAAACAGTTACTTTCAGAGAGTCTGTGTACCTGTGGGTGAAGCAAATTGTTATAACTTTATCATTGTGATCACATGTTTATGCAAAAAAGATGGTCATTTAAAGCTTTAGCTTCCCCCCCACACACACACACTGCTGTGATGCATAGTATTAAAACAGTCTGAAACTGTTCCTGAATATTTTTGACCATCATAAGAAGCTGCAGTAATGTTGAACACAAGAATATTATACTGCTGGAAAGTGTCTTCTAAACAAGTGTCTAAATTTGCTCCTCGTGTGTATATTTCAAAAGGCTTTGTGCAAAAAACTTCTATTCCTTTTTTAACATCACTGCAATAACTTACATAGGTCATTAAAATACTGTTCCTTCTAAACGTCAATTCATCCAGCTCTATGGCAAATTTATCAACCCTTAATTCGTAGATCAGCTATAGTTCAATCATTTTTGCTATTTCACATCTACCACATTCAATGATAATGTTATTAAGCAGCAGATTTTGTAAAATTGGATATGGATTCATTTTCAGGACTCTAGTTGTTACTTTCAAACTACTGGTAGTAATAAATTTTCACCAACTGTGTATGGATACTTAATTTTCCAATTGAATAGGAATATTATATGAAGCTTAGCCTCCTTGTTCATAATTCATAGATGTTGATGTGTCAAAAATTATTTAATTCCTCTCTCTGAATGCATTAAAAATTAATCTTTGAGGTTTTTAAAGCATTCCAAACTGTTTTCTTTCCATGTATGGATTCTTGTTAAATGATCTTTCATTAAAGGCTGGTTGAAGCCTAAATGATCTCTGCATTTAAGATATAATAAAATGTTTCTAGCATTATTTTTTTTAAATAAATAGGTAATGAATGCATCAGTTGTATATAAATCCCTTTACATTAATGTGGATGTAAGAAAGGATTTTTCATAATTTTGATAGCTAATTTACTGTTTATAAGCTTCTGCATTTCATGTATTATGAGTATATGAATTCTTGTCTTTTACTCTAATAGTTATTTATTTGTATAAAATTTCTAATATTTTTTTAATTCTTTAAAGTGTTATAAATGAAGATCTTCAGCCATTTGAAAAAGGCATAACGAAACAAGATATTTTTGAGAGCAAAAGCAGAGGTATCCATTATCAAGTAATAAAGCATGAATTATATCGTGAAAATGAATGCATGTTTCCTTTCAGGTATTTGTCCTATTATTTTAATTTATTTATAATTAACTTTCACGCTATATAATAAAATCTTTGAACATTTACTGGCTTTTATTCCTTACTAATATTAAAATATTTTACTATGTTTCATTAAAAATTTGATAAAGAGATCATGAAGTACTCCATTTTAATATTTTTTAGCTAATCGGTTGCAAAATGATTTTTGGTGGATTAATGAAATTATTTTTACTGAAATTTGCCATTTTATTTGATGTGATACATTTCGAAAGCCTACTTTATTTGATTCATTTCTTTAATTAGAACCACGTTTTTGAAACAGTTCATTAAAAAACATAACTTACAGAGTTGTTTTGAAATACTCATTAAATGCTTTATATTGACCCAGTGACTCTGTTGTATTTTATATATGTTGGGTATGTGCTCAGTGATGATTACCAAGATGTACACAAACATCGTTTATTCTACATTGCTCATCTACTATTCTATATTACAGTTATGATTAAAGATAATAATAGATACAGTTACAACATCTCCCTTTTTTATCAAAAATAATAATAATAGTAAAATTAAACATATTCTTTTAAATAATAAGGTTTCTTAACAGTCCTACCAGATTGAGTAACATAGTTATGTCCATTTGAAAAAGTTGATGATACTATACCTTTTTCACTATTTGGTGACACAACACTTCTGTTAGGTTTTGAAGGACTTACAGGCACATCTAAATTTGTATTGCTCCTGTTACTCTCAGGTATCTCGGTTTCATCTATAACTTCATTCTCACAGTTGTTTTGTATTGCAAACTCATCCCAATTAGTTCCTTTAAGAAGGTCTCTTCTGTTCCTTTCTACAGTTCTTCTATCTGTTCTTATAATCCTATATGAACATGGTCTTTCTGCTTCTTCTATAATTTTCCCTCTTTCATTTAGTTTTTTCCCTTTCTCTTTTATGTAAACATGATCTCCTCTTTTCAGTGGTTTTTAATGGTCTTGCATTCCTATCATAATAACTTTTTTGTAAGGTTTGTCTCTTCAGTAAATGTTGTTTATGGTCTTCATATTGTTTAGCTTGGACGAAATTCTGTTTTATAGGCATCAATCCATTTACTTTTCTTCCAAACATCAATTCTGAAGGTGATTTAATTTCATCTGAAATAGGAGAGTTACGATATTCCAGTAATACTAAATATGGATCCTTATTGTCAACTACAGCTTTTTCTAACATTCGCTTGACAGTTTGAATATGTCTTTCAACCATTCCATTAGATTGTGGGTAATTTGGACTTGAAGTTCTGGTTTCAAAATTCCATCTTCTTGCAAAGTCTTTAAATTTCCTGCAATTAATTATATTGTGGACCATTATCCGAATATGCTATTTTCGGAATACCATGTCTTGCAAAAATTGATTTCAATTGCTTTATCACTGTTACACTTGACAAATCTTGCAAATGTCCAATTTCATCATATTTGCTAAAATAATCTATAACTATTAGATAATCCCTTCCTTGAAAGTAAAAGGGATCTGTTCCCAATACTTCCCATGGATCATTAGGTATTTCTTTAGATATCATTGGTTCTTTAGTATTAGCTTTTTGTAAACTTAAACATGTTTGACAATTCAGTACCAACTCTTCAATGTCTTTCGACATTCCTGGCCAATATAATATTTCTCTTGCTTTGGTCTTGCATTTTACTATTCCTAAATCACCATAATGAATTCTGCTTAATATATCTTTTCATAAACTTGGTACAACAACACAGGAATTTTTAAATATTAATCCATTTGCTTCTGATAGTTTGTCTCTGAAGTTAAAATATGGTTTTGCCAGTTCTGGTACCATACGTTTTTCATCTGGCCATCCAGTATTAATTAATTTTCTTAAAACATGTAGTTCTTCATCTTTTTCTGTTTCCAGTTGAAAAACTTCCATTTTACCATTAGGCATTGGTATACATTCTACAACTAATCCAACATGAGCTTCTATGTCTCCTTCAAAGAAATCAGATCCTTTATCAGTGAATGATCTTGATAATGCATCCGCTACAAAAAGTTCTTTTCTTTGGTTTATATTTTATCTCAAACTGATATGGCTGTAATCTTATACGCATTCTTTGTAATCTTACAGGGCATTTATTTAATGGCTTTTTGAAAATTGATTCCAGTGGTTTATGGTCACTCTCCACAGTAATATATTTTCCAAATATATACTGGTGAAATTTCTCACACGCAAATACAATAGCTAAAGTTTCCTTTTCAATTTGAGCATAATTCCTCTGCATACCTGTTAATGCCTTAGATGCATATGCTACTGGTAAATTATTCTGCAGTAAGACTGCTCCTAGTCCTTGAGATGCATCTACAGATAAAACTACTGGCATCTTTATATCATAATACTGTAAAACTGGTTTATTTACTAAGACATCTTTTAGTCTTCTCAATGCTTTTTCATGTGTTGCATCCCAGTTCCAGATAACTTGTTTTTTCAACAAATTTCTTAAACATGATGTCAATTGTGATACATTAGGTATAAATCTAGAAACATATGTAATCATTCCTTGGAAAGTTTCCAATTCTTTCATATTTTTGGTGGTTTTATATCTAGAATAGCCTTAATTTTGTCTTCATCTGGTTTTAAACCATCTTTAGAAAATATATGTCCCATATATTTCACTTCATTCAGCCCAAATTTACATTTATTTAAATTAAATTTAACATTCTTTCATCTGGCTCTGTCCAACAACTTCTTTAATCTTAAATCATGTTCTTTTTTATCTCTACCCCAAACTAATAAGTTATTTATATATATTTGAACTCCTTCTAAATCACTAAAAATTTCAGAAAAACTTCTGTGGAAAACTTCTGGTGATGAACTCAGTCCATATGGCAACCTCAAAAAACAATATCTACCAAACGGAGTGTTAAATGTAGTAATGGCAACCTCAAAAAACAATATCTACCAAACGGAGTGTTAAATGTAGTAAATTCATAACTTGAATCTGACAGTTTAATTTGCCAAAATGCTTTGTTTGCATCTAAAATACTAAAGACCTTTGCATTTATCATTTGAGATGAAATTTCTTCAAAGGTTGGTATGTGATAATGTTCTCTCAGTATATTTTAAGTAAGGTGCTGAGGATCTAAACACACTCTTAAATTACCATCCTCTTTCCTTACTACCACTAATGAATTCACTAATTCTGTTGGTTGGTTAACTTTCTTTATAATACCATCTTTTTCCATTCTTGATAATTCCTTTTTTAATGGATTTAATAAGCTATAATTTTCCTACAGGGTTCTATTTTACCAACAGCTCCTGGTTTTAATTTAATATGATATGTATATCCAGTTAAATTCCCAGTTCCTTTAAACAAATCTTGATATCCTTTTAAAGATTCTGGTAACTTTTCATTAGAATCAGGATTTACTGTACAAATCCTTTGTATTAGGTTTAATTTTTGCAATGTAGGTAAACCTAAAATAGCTGGAACAGTTTTATCACATGCTACGACTTGAAATTCTACTTCATCCTTGTTCCCTTTTGATGTTTCACATAATAATTTACATTTTCCGACTACATCAATTGTAGTACCATTCTAATTATTTAGAGTGACTTTTGATTTAGTCAAACATTTATCTCTTAAATTTAATTGTTTCAATTTAGGCAATGGTAGCACATTACACTGAGCTCCAGTATCCAACTTAACAAATAAATATTTAGATATGTTTACTTTTAGTTTTTCAAACCATTCAGTTCTATTTTTAGAAAATGGATCTGTATCTTCTACTGACCCTAAAATATATTCATTACTATTATTATGCAACTCATGCTCTAAATTATTCTGTGCAACATTAACATTTTTATAAGTGCACATTTTAGAAAAGTGATTTTTCTTTTTACAGTACAAGCAAATCTTATTATAAGCAGGACAGTTGTATAACTTATGAAAAGTTCCACATTTTCTACATAGTTTTGGGTTATTGTATTTATTTCCTTGATAGTTTGAAGAAGATTTAGTACTTTGTTGCTTTTGTTTTACATGATAGTTTTTCTTACAAGGCTGACTTTTTTCCTTTGCAGGTAGAAATTTATTATGTTTGATCGCTTCTATTTTATTTTCTTCAGTTAAAGTTTTCAGCTGAAGTTCTGCTAATACAGAAGCTTTACACATTTTAATACATTTCTCCAATGTTAACTGATCTTCCCTTAATAATCTATCTTTGAGATTTTTATTTAGAATTCCACTTACTATTCTATCTCTTATTAAAGATAGTTTTATCTTCTAATTCTGCAAATCCATAGTTGCTACTTAATTTCTTTAAATCGGTTAAGAAATCATCAAATGATTCACCTACATGTTGTGTTCGACAGAAAAATATGTCTATCAACACTTTCGTTTGCTTTCGGTATGCAAAAATTTTCGAAAGCTTCAATTACTTTGTCAACATCCTTATCTTCTTCACTTAAATTAAAAGTATTCATCTTTTCAAGTGCTTCTTCACCTATAATATGCAATAAAATAGCTACTTTAATTTCAGGTGATTTAGTAATACCACCAGCTGCTAACATATAAATTTGGGAATTTTTGTTTCCATTTCTTCCAATTTTTGCTTAAATTACCTTCAAAATTTAGATTAATTGGTGGCTTTAATCCATCCACATTTAATTTAGGGCTTTAAATAGTTTATATATACCTATTTTTAGCCACTTCAAATAAAAATATACAACGCACTTACCAGCGATAGAAGTTTCGATTTCACTGTAAACAACTTATCATGTTTTTGTTTAGAATATCTTTACTGATGCTACATGGTTCTTCAAAAAAGATTTTCTTTTTTAATCTACGACCGGCTGCGCCATGTGTTGTATTTTATATATGTTAGGTATGTGCTCAGTGATGATTACCAAGATGTACACAAACATCGTTTATTCTACATTGCTCATCTACTATTCTATAGTACAGTTGTGATTAAAGATAATAATAGATACAGTTACAGTTACATATATAACAGTGACCAAGTGCATAAAAAAGCTGAATATTGATAGATTCCTGGATTTGGTTCCCAGTAAC